TCAGGAGTGTGAGTATGTCATTGGCTCACACATGGTATCCAATGCATAATCCAGCGTTCAATTTTGGGAACAGTTCATGCGCCGAGCTCAGTGCAAATATACGCCAAAAATGTCCTTACACTCGACAAATTGTATGAAATCGAGCCACATTCAAATTTGTGAGCAGCCTGACGAGCGTAAGAATAAGAAGTACATTGCATCGAAGTACCTGCCATATCCTCCCAAGCGGAAGAGTACCCGCTGACCTGGGGCTCTTGGTCTGTATTTTTGTCTTCGGTGGCGGCCGACCCGACAGAGCTAACCAGCGCAGCCAGAAACAGACACAGCTTCATGGTTCTCGTCTGGTAGCTCTGTGAACACTGAAGGAGAGACACTGATGCCTCCACATGGGCTGGTTCTCTCTTTATACTCGTGAAACGGTGGCGGTAAGCCAGGGAGATGCGTGACAGGGTTAACCGCACTGATCTGCGCTCTGCAATGCTGTGTAGACATTGCGGTTTGGAAAGCAAGCTGGGAGAGCATAGCGACAGCCTCGGCGGAGACGGGCTTCTCTGCGCTGACAGTGCATGGTTCAGGCCACTAAATACAGAAGAATGAGCTTAGCATCCATACAAAGAAGGGCAGCGCGATGTAAGACAATATACCTAAGATCAACATCCAAGTTGTACATATCACGCTGAACATATCGATCTTGATTATAATTTCCCAGCACATTTTTAGCAAAAAAGTCACCGTCATACGTTCGTTTTTACCCGATCCTTATAGTGATATGCGTCTGTGCATTATCCGTGGTATTTTGTTGTTTTTGTGAAGCAATGTGGAGCGGGCTCGAAAATTCTCTTAGACCAGCCTGGTTGCTTACAAGCATACATGAGAAAAAGCATCTCAGAAAGCGTGGGAGCTAAAACCAATTTCGAAATCCATTTTTCATGCGTCGCTATGTGTTGTACGTCACCAATCTCGAAACATGTAGTGCCATGGAACCCACAGTTTCTCGCTCGACACTCCTGATCCTGTTCTGTGCTTGTAAGCCAATACGCAGTGTTATCAAAGAGGCCACTCACGAGTGAAAATTCAAGTAAAATGGGCTGGAGCTGATGAGTTAATGAGAATTGCATCGTATAAAAAAGACACGTTTCAAGTTGACATGGAAGTCATCTCATGAACAGGAGAGGAATGTATTCGCTTCTCACATCTTCGACCATTGCACTGGGGCATAATACAATCGACTACAGTCATTTGCAAGTCAGCCTATTATAGCAGCCACGGAGAAGAAAATCTTGTTGGAGTAGACATATGTGGCCACTTTTGGAAATTTGGTTCAAACGACCAAGAATATTGGACATAGGTAAAGTAAGTAAATAGGTGCCCCAAACGGTAAAATCCCTATTTCTTTAAGGGTGAGCTTCTCTCTGCTCCCGAAAAAAAAAAGTTAGCGTTTCACATCGTCTGCTAACAGGCAGTGTCATCTAACCCATCCATAGAAAATAAGAACTTATCTAAGCCACTAGAATTCAAAATTACGACCTCAAATCAGTGATAGGAACCCTCCGCTGAAGATATGAGAGACCAGTTCTCAAGCGCCGAATTTCGCTCGCAAACGTTTCTGTATTAGCCGCGCCAGCAGGTCTGTCCCAATGCCAAGCATGACGGATAATTTAACTTGGTGAGGTATCAAAACTAAAAAGACTGAAATTTAGCGCTATTGAGCGCAGCTGAACCAAAACCAAAACGAACCAAAAAATGGCAAAATAGAGATTTAGCAGTTTTGAATGTCCGTTAAAAATGATTTTTAGCTTTAAAACTGTCTCTTTACTTGCTATCAATTGGTCAATGTTTGGTGTGTATCAAACGCGTTTTGTCGGTTAGCGAACTAGTCAAATCTCTATGAAATCCGGTTTGAGTTTGCAGTCGTTCAGTTCTGCAGCGAGGCTGGTCAATAGTCCAGACCACAGGAACATCACTTAGGTGTATACAAAAGGCAGGAAAATTGTACTTGTACCTTCGTATGACATCAAGGAAAACAAAAAAGAAAAGCAAAAGTCAGTAAAAGAAAACAAAAAGTTCAGTATTTTTGTCAATATTTCGTATCAGTCAATTGTCAGGGTCGCAAAGGAATGGGAACCGCTGCGAGCAGGTTATTCCGCTCGAGCTGGCGCCGTAGCTGCGTGTTGCGCCACACTTTTGCAGGACAGTGAAAGGACACCATCAGGAAAAATACCGCATATTTCTATGAATCGCTGCTTTTGACGCGCGTTTCTAAAGGCCATCATTCATTTAGCACCAAAGAATTGCTTGCGTTGTGGTCGGAAGCCATCCGAAAGAAAATAACTTTCGTGCAACTGCTGCAGATGCACATATTAAGTGTCCGGTAAATTAATAAAGTTCACGGCATTGGGGCATCCCTCCCACCAAATATGGGCATGACACGGAAGGGTTCACACACCGCATTGGGCCCAAACACATAGCACCAAAAATAACTGAACCAACCTAAACCTGAAGATGTAATGAACCAAAACTGCCATCACTCTGCAACACACAAATGGACACAATCACAATATGGAAACTAAAAACAGATTGCAACAGACGCTTGGTACTCGTTTTACCCTGGACGCTTGCAGCGTGCGTGAATTTGTGCAGAGCACATGTCGAAACGCTGAAGTTTCGCTGCATCAGGAAGTTTAGTTGTGAGGAAGTAGCCTACGCTGTTGCATGCTAGAGATCCCATTTTTTAGCTGTTTTAACACGCACATTTCGGGTTTGCGGGCCGAAAAGCGGCACCGTTACTACATAACTGACGTCTAAAAAGCCGTTTATTATTGGCACAGCGGGCGGCAAGGGCCAGTCACCGATAACTTTTTGAGTGCGCCGGTTCTTCTTGCGTTATCCCAAGCGATCTTCCGAAACTACCTGGGGGTGGGGACGGTTAGTTTTTAAACCGGTACGTGGGAACCCGGCACAAATATTCCTTTATCGCTCAGGTCGTCCGGTTAAACATATTTACCTTATTTGGGACTTGTTATATTCATATGGATTTACTATTGATTACCGCGCAGCATTTGCTATAATTGGCTTAGGCCGTCCGGCGCTAGGCCGGCAAACCCAAACTAAGTGATGACATGGATTTAAAAAGTGGATATTTCCACACCACTCAGCAACAACAGCAGCATACACAGTAAATGGAAGTAGACGGCAGATCAAGTGTTCGTCGCACGCAGCAACATTGGATCCAATGGCACAGTCGCAACAGGTGTCTTATTTGGACTGAGTGATTCATTCGCCACCAGAAAATACGAATGAAGTATATTCGAATTAAGATTGGAGATAGAAACTTCCAAGTTTAAAATCAAATTCAAAGAGCCCTTGTTTACGGTTTGGTTGTGCAAATCTTACGCGTCGAGTTGCACTTACATTAAGACTTAGAGCACAGAACTCTGGCATTAATACAAGTCAACCCGTTTTCTGCGTTTTATAAGATCTTAGAAAAGTCCCAACTAATAAAAACGAGTCCAGTCCCTTATCCGCGATTGAGCTCCGAGACGCAAGATCTGTCATCGTTCACCAACTGCAACACGAGGCTTTCTGCCAGGAGTTGGCCGTCTGCCAAGAGATGCCGGAGGAAGCTCGCCAACCCCTGATCCTGCCGAGAGGCAGCCGTGGGACGTGGCTGCTGATCGCGGCCGCTCACCAGAAGCTGGTGCACGCAAGGGCGGATCACGCTCTCAACACCCGCGATAGAAATACTGGATCCTGTGAGCGAGAGAGAAGCGGTTAGGAAGAATGTGCACGCCTTCATCGCCCGTCGATAACGACACGACAGACTCTGTCAGCCGCGCATGGCTGATTTGCCGGCAGCCACATTTGATATTCACTGCGGCTTCAGATTCGTCGAAATATAATTTTTTGTCCCCTGGTCACTAAGACTGGTCGACATAACGGCTAGCAGAAGAAATTCCGCCTGCTGAGGGCGTTAGCTAACCAGTTCTGGAAACGCCGGTTCAGTTCGTGCCCGGTCTGGCCGACTGCCAGAAGTGGACAAACGAGGCAAGGAGTCTGGTATGCGGGTTAATTGGTCCTGCTGGTGGAAGACGACGCCGCACGGGCCATGGCTGCCCGGCCGCGTGTCGGAGGTGTTGCCTGGTCCGGACGGTCGCGTGCGATCGACCCGCTTCTCAGTCCGCGGCGGCGAAGTGCTCCCTGGCGGACGGATATGTATGTTGGAAGAAGACAGAAAGTGAAGATGGTCGTTGTGTCTCTTTCTCTGCCCGCTGGAGGCAGCAGGATGTCGTCAAGCGACAATCCCAACTGTAGCTTGCCTTCTTCCTTAAAATGCAGGAAGCGAGGCAGAGGATGAAAAGCACATCAGCACTAAAGGTGTTGGTGTAGCACGGGTCGGCCGATTGCATGAAGCGCACTTACTGCATGATGCAGCAACGGACGACCGACGCCGCACCGACACCTGTGTGGTCCTGTGCTCCGTGATGTGTTTCTGTACTCAAGCTGTACATAGAAAAACACCACCTTCCATCTGTGCCCTCGTCGTCTGTCTTTTTAAGTTAGGCACAAGTTATGGATCGCATGACTTTTGTCATGACATATTAGGCAATCATATGTGTGGTTTGTAGCTGCAATATATTAGTTCTCGTTTATCTTAATGTTAGCAAACTAACATGAGGGGATGGATTGTCAGCCACCCTCCGATCCCTCTAATTCAACTACTACGCTTGTAAATAAAATATAACAAGCAGTGCCGTAAGGCGATGTCCGTCATTATTATCCAAGAAAACGAAGCATCCCTGGCAAACAATGTATTCTTGTTTCGCGTTTCGGTGTGTGTCAAGAAGAAGAACACACAAAATCATGATAAAGCAAGCATAGAGACTATTGAGGGAACTCGACGGGGTCCGTCTAACAGCAGACACTGCGACATTAAACAGGAGGTTTCAGACGTGGCGCATCCTTGATATTCGCAGGATCGAGACAGCCATAATGGTCCGGGAACACCACTTGTGCATAGTCAACACACCGGCTTCAGGCCGTTGCCGTGGGCATATTCTTCAATAATACCCGTCATACGCTCCGTTGCGTCCGCCGTACCGGCTGTAGGGGGAAGAACGCCTGCCGTAGCCGCCGTAGGCCCCGGAGCGCCCATTGTAGCCATTGTAAGCTCCGAGGCGACGTCCGTACCCTCCGTAGGCTGCTGACGAACGACCGTATCCACCATAGCCGCCGAGGCCGCTGTTGCCGTAGTAGCCACCATATCCGTTATATCCCAGTCCGAAGTTTCCGTAGCCGTTCAAGCTGCGCCCGTAACCACGTCCGGAGCGGCTGTTGTAGCTCTGGCCGTAGTTGCCGTTGTAGCCGAGGGCCCGGTTGTCGTAGCCGCCGAAGCTCCGACCTCTGCGGAAGCCGTTCCTGAGGCAAGTATTCGTGCGTTAGTTCTGTCCTGATAATGTTTCACTGCTCAAGGCAAGGCCGTCTGGGTGCATGGCTACCACCATTGGCGGGCAGAAGGGTCAAACAGTTATAAGCATTCTGTCATGACTGGTCCACACCTGGAAACAGCGTCGAGGCCGGCGTTTCGTTCCCACCATGCAGAACGACAACTAGCCACGGTGTGAAATATTTCACAGGCCCATACAGATGCTGTCCAACACATGTTCATGTGCCCTATTTTGGCAATCACTTCAGACATCATGATCCATGAACACCAAAAACAGACGAGTGGGCTCGCGTTCCATAAACAAATGGCCCTTTTTATGCTAACGCTGTTATTTCGCTACTTTCCACGTTAGCGCTTATCTGACTGGTACTTCAATTCGTCCTGCCGCGTGGAAGAGACATCGGTTTTGAAATGCACGGAGAATAATATGGCATGCTCATCATACTTTATCAGGCTCATCTGATAGACCTGATTCTCATTACGGCTCATTCAAATCGAATGAGCCGTAGCATTTGCTTTGAAAGCGTTTATGTTCTCCACCTTGCACCGATTTAAGATTTTACGTTGTGTACATGATGTTGAGGCAATATCATCCGCAAAGTAAGAAGTTGCAGCTATTTTAATAGCCACAAAGACATGTCATGGTTCTGCTCCTTTTTATCCGATCCTTCGGAATTCCAGATTTGGCACTAGAGGCTTGGGACATATTTGGCACTTTGGCTGAATCAGGTAGCCGTGTGATGATGTTTGCGGGAAGGAGCAGATAACCCTTCGAACCACATCTTATTTTGAGATATACGCGAAGCGAATGCACCAAGGCAAGGTTTAAGTTGAGAAGAACTAGCAGCAAAGTACCTGCCGTGTCCTGCCAAAACGGAAGAGTACCCGCTGGCCTGGATCTCTTGGTCAGCCTCCTTGTCTTCGGCGGCGGCCGACAGAGCTACCAGCGCAGCCAGAAACAGACACAGCTTCATGGTTCTCGTCTGGGTAGCTCTCTGAACACTGAAGAGAGACACTGATGCCTCCACATGAGCCTGCTCCCTCTTTATACTCGTGAAAACCAAGCAAATGTTTGACCCGGCTGACCGCACGCAGCTGCACTCTGCAACGGTGTAGACCTGGCGGTTTGGAAAATTGGCTGGGAGAGCAGTGATAGCCTTGGAAGGTCGCCTTCTCCGCTGAACAGTGCGTGGTGGAGGCTACTTGATATCGAATTCTCAGCCTATTTTGATGTGAAGAACTCCAGTGAGATGCTCCACAGTGATGTCTCAACACGAACCCGACGCTATTTAATGGACCATGAGGTGACAGTAGCTTCCTCCTTCCTCCGATGACCTTTTAAACGGAAACAAATTAATTTGGCCTTTGAGAGGACCGCGTGACGCGTATTACTCCAGCGCTGAAAGGCCAATGGTTTGATTTACGATACGCATAGGATTTCTTAGCAAAGAAACATTATATGCTACTCATCCGAATGCAATTTGATTGACGTACCGTTAACCGATTTATTTTGAATCAGACACAGGTCAGCTGTGAACCATAATTTATGCTACGTGCTAGCTTGCAAGAAATGTCCTACATAAGGCAACATCACCCTAAAAGTAGAGGAACCTAATCGCCCGTGAGATCCACTCCAGTTCCATCCTTCACCCCTCGAAGAAGTTCCCGCAAACGGCGTGTGCTAAATCGAGATGCATGTTGCGTATGGTAAAACATCCCACCGCCTCTTTATAAACCCGATTTGAAATATTGGGCCTAGGAGGAGTCACATGAACATTTTTGTTTGTAGGTTTTATTGCAATACCTGCACCAGCAGTCTGTTTTTTAATGTGTCTAGACTCGGCCGCAGGCCGCACGCGGTACTGGCGGTCTCTGGCGGCCGCCGGGAGAGAGCGCATTTCGCCGCGCTCTCTGCAACACAGCCAAACCTATTCCATGGGATTTTGTGCCTGATATCAACTGTCAGCCTTTTGAACGATGGTAGCACTGCCGTTGTTATACAGCATTACATTGTATCGAAGGGTGTGAAACACCATCTCGCTTTCCATTCATCATCGAAGTACGCCAATCCCGAGTGTAGTCGTGCCATGGGTGCCGAGAGTGACACGACACGCGCAAACCTGTGGAAGAGAGCAAAATCCACCATTGAGCCCATGCCACGTGATACGTGTGACCCGCACCATTTCGCATGGTAAACCGTCATTCCTGTGTCGCTGCAACCCCCACCGGTGTCTAGATTTTGGTGCAAAGCTCCAATGTTAACCTTGGAGCAACATTCGGCGTAAGCCGTGCAAAGCTGCCGTGCAACCCACTAATCTTGACTCATTTGCGAGCAACATGTGTGAAAATGCGATCAAAAGAAGTGTGGAATAGAGAATGAGTTGACCAATACGCCGATGCGGTTTTCAACGCCAGATTATGAACACTTTTGACAGAAGCGGCTGTTATACTAGGCGCCGGCATCTGGCAATTTGTCCTGCAATTTGCAGGGCAACGGTGCGTTGACAAATTCGCCATGCGATGAAATGTAGCCGCATCAATTGTGAAGTCGGGAAACAAAAACTCGGAGTCAGCCGAGACACCGGGCGGCGCCGTTCCGTCGCGGCGCAAAAAGATGCCGTGCAACCAAGTAAACTTGGCTCATTTGCGAGCGACATCTATGAAAATGCGATCAACAAAAGTGTGGCATAGAGAATGAGTCGATCAATATCTGAGTTTACAAGATGAGGCGCACAATTCGTGGCTGTTTCACTTGTTGCGTATATCTATGCGATTTGCAAATTCCAACGTAAAAAGTGTTTTGCCGTATCGCAACCAGTCATAACCATGTCATGTGCATACGTCAACTTTTCATATGTCCTAGCAATGCATCTTTCCGAAAGTTGACACGAATAAACTCATTTCAGCAACATCCGGATGTTCGCGGAACGCCTCACCTTTACAAGCTGCTGCGCAACCACCTGCTTGACGACGGCCTGCGCCTTCCCAACGGTGGTCGAACTAATAAACAGCTGTTTACTGATGTGTTGGCCATCGACGGCGACAAGGAGTTTCGGATCCTTCCCAAGCTTGGCGTGGAAAGCCATCTGGAGGTACGGACAATTTTCCCCGGTTGAAATGTGGTAGTTATCTGCAATGATAATGTAATGCGATGATAATGGTATCGATGCGTTTGGACCTTATTAGTTGGTGTTGTAACACACGAAACGTTTTGTGACAACGAATCAGCTAAATTTGTTCTGTTTAATTCCAGGTGACTGGACAGCAGCGCCAGAGAGTTCGCCCAGCCGTCCAACTCCTCAGCGAGTCCGTAGTGACAGCTGTCGACACCTTTACGAACCGGCATGAAGAGGCGCAGTACCTGCGCGTGTTTGACCACGGTTTCGACGCCCTTAACGGGTAGTGTCCCACAGACTTGAAACAGCCCTGCTGTGGCATGAACCCTGACAGTGCGGCCCACTGCAAGGCGCTGGCTGACATGGAGGCGCCCATGTTGCTGACGTTTGGCAAGAAAACTTTGCTACTGCCGTTCCAAAAAGGATTGATCGTCGCTATCAAGTTCATCCAGGGTCTTGTGGGTGACCTTGTGTCTGTCCTCGGCCCGGATACCTACGTCATGCCGGGCCGAGACATCACCAAGACATCCTTGAATCGTTCTTCGGGTTGGTGCGTGGGAAAGGAGGTTCGAGCCTGCATCCAAGTCCCAGCGATGCTAAGTGTCGGGTGCGCAGCCTGACGCTGATGTACGCACTGAGGCTGGGCTTGAACCCACTGACGCAGCGCCTGCCAGCGGCCGCACCTCTATCACGAGTAGAAGACGGTGGTCCCATTGGCCACGCTATCCTCGCTGATTTCCTGGAGGAGCATCTTGTCAAGAATCAGCAGACCACTGGCGACATGGGACAGGTTGAGTCGCTCCTGGAAGAAGCCAACCAAAGCCGACCGACCCCATCGCCTTCCACTGTATCACCAACAGACCCCAAGACTGGCGTCTCGGCCGAGCGGTATGGGATGGCCCATGCGGCCGGCTACCTGTCAGCCAAGTGCCGAAAAGTCGACCCCAGCCTCGGGACTCCTTCGGCATTTGTCGCGGAAACGGCGCCGGTCCAGACCATGTGGACCCGCTGCTCAGCCAGGGCGGGATGAGTGTCCCAACCACCAAGTGGATGGAGAAATTCAAAACCATGGAGTCGACCTTCTGCACAAGTCACCATCTCGAACCGGACCTACTCTCTCACTGCCCGAGAGTCATCGAGTCGATGGTAGCGACCCTGTGCGGAGCCAGGTCCCCTGGATGTCCGGGTGGTTCGCCGTTTGTTCGGCTGCGCACGTTCATCCGGCTCAGCTTTCTGAACCGAATGCGCCAAAAGGAAGCTCTGCAGCACCGCGAGAGGCTGAAGAGGCATCAGTTTGCAAGGTGAGCGGTGGCACAGCTGCACTGGAGGAGGCGGCCCGTGATCTGCTACACTGAAGGAGGCGGCTCGTCATCTGCTGCACCGGAGGAGGAGGCCCGTCATCTGACCGGACTGCGCTGGAGCAGAAGTTTCTTCTCTGGACCTGACTGCGCTGGGGCAACAGGTGGCGATAATATGTTACCGAGCTGAGATGGTCTCCTGTGACCTGGCTGTTCTCAATGCAGCGGTTCTGTGGCATAGCGGCATTAGCAGCCCACTAGAGAAGGTAGGCGACAGTGTTCGTTACTCTCAGCGCCTTCCTGGCAGGTGCACGAGGTATGCTGTGCGTTACCTCGCGCGTGACGAACATTATGCGGACCTGTGCACGGTGTAAAAATCAAATCCGAACGGTGTAAAGAAGGTGGACTCCTCCGCTGAGTTGCTGTACACCCATGTGTTGTTTTGTGGCGTTGAGAGGTGACGTTTTAGAGACCATGAGTGCAAAACATGACTGGTGGGAGCGCAAACATGACTGTTGTAGACCTTCCCATAGCTTGGGGACGTAATCTCCAATATCTCAGAAAATGAACTAATGGAAACCATCGCTTTTGACCCTAAACACGTGATTACAGGCACTCCAGACATTGTTATTACAGACACCAGGTTAAATTGCATTACATCTGTCCTTCCCACGCCTCAGGTCATCTGGCTATGAAAATGCTAGGTCCTTTCTCAGCATTGAAAACAACTGCTATCGCCTTCGTATTGGTTGAACACTAAAATATCTCATTTGCATTCAGCTGACTTCATCTATACCTGTCGCCGGTTTGAAACAGCCCGCATCTGGACCGCACGTCCGAAACAATATGTGAGGGTAGGGATGATAATCATCCCACGTTGTGGTAAAAGTCGCCTTTATTGGATGCAAGGCATGGTACAGTGATCCGGGCTTGTGTTGGAATATGTGACCAGCCACAGCTGTTTTGTACGGGTATGGCTAGGAGACATACCAATAAACGTCTTGAGACCCTTTTCGTTGGAAAAAAAACGCCATAGTAACACTCGAGAATGATTGTCAAAATATCAGTGTTGTCTTGGACTTAAACGCGTAAATGCCCTCGGGCACTCCAATAATGACGTCACCGTGGGATCGCCAGACCTAGTTCCGGCTAGGTTCGGCCCCCCCCCCCCCCTGACTATACTGACCAGATAAGACAGTACTAATAGCCTTATTCCTCAGCTAAAAGCCAGGAGAATGGATATATAGATGAGTTGATATTTTGGCAACACGCCTCTACGGAAACAATAGAAGTGAATTCACAATGTGAAGATAATTCACTTCTGCTCGTGTTTCGATAAAGGCATGTTGCCAAAATATCGTCGCATCTTTATCTCCATTATCCTGCTTTTTCTCCGAGGAATAAAGATATTACAATTGTCTTATCTATGTCAACAATGTTCCTCGCATATACACCCAACAGCTTTCTGTACAGCTCAGGGTAATAGAACACTGTACTGGGCAATAAGTTAATGACCGTGGAATACGTCTTGTGAGTGCTGAAAGCCAGATAGAAGATCAAGGTAAATCACTGTAACCTTCTTATAACT